CTAAGAAGGCCCTGAGGATTCGTTGCTGGTCCACAACTGTGTGGCGGGTTGGCCATGGATACCGAATGGGATGTTTTGTGCCCGGCGAATGCAATGAACCAGTGATCCTTCCGTGGCTGACCACTCTTATCTTCTTCGGGAAAGATTACCGTTCGGGAAATAACCTCATTTTCTAAGGTGTAAACGCTGCACTCTAAGGTGCCGACGACGTGCGGCCTGGCCAAGCCCCCTTGGAGGACGCTCGGTGAACCCCTGTTTCCTTTTCCCTGCTGATGTGAGTGGCCTCCCCTGCAGGTCACTGACAGGCACGTCCAGGCCGTTCGAGCTATAAACATGGTTGTCACGCTCGCCCCTTTATGGTGCTTCTTTTACGTGATGCAGCTCTGGACTAATCACCACTCTGAATCGTTTTGATCCACCCCATCGGGGTACGTCTAGCCCCTCCTATAGGCCCCATCTTTGGTTCAGGCCACACTTGGTCATGGAGCACGATCGACAGAAAAATTCCCATTCTGGGCTTGGAATCTTGCAAAACATAGCGTGTTGGTGGCCTCCTGGGATTCTTCTGAGTGCAGCTGTTAGCCTGGTGTACGGGGAGTTCCCGTTCGGGAAACGGCACTTGCTTTTTGGATAATCACGAATATGTCAAATCATCAAAAGGTGTTGTCAAGATAAGGAAAGTGGTGGGCACGCGGGCCCCACTCATCATTTTTCTCCATTCTCCTTGGACTCCTGCTTCGGCCCTAGTGTTTTGTTGGGTGTGGAGATTTGAGCTATGGCCGAGCTGCTGAAGCTTTTTTTTTTTATTGTTGTTGACCAGTGAATTAGCTGGGCTGGAGCAGAACTGAAATTCTCATTCCACAGCTAGATATCAGTTCATCTTTGATGTAAATTTTTTGTAGAACATAGAACAAAAATCATTCTTGCTTCTCTAAAAATCGGTCCATCTTCTATGAATTTTGGTAGAAATGCCAAGAACACATGTAGTTTTTTGAACAGATTTCCCACAGACGGCGCCAATGTTGAGTTTTAGTCTCGTAGATCCGAAAGTCCAACATAACTTCGGATATTAGGGATCATGGATTCGGTATAAAAATGAATAAATATCTAAAAGATGTATAAACTAGCTATTTTTACGTGGAAACCCGGAAAGGGAGAAAACCACGGGACTGTTTAGGCTAACGTCCAAGCCCGCTCTTTCTCATTATTCTGCTCTCCTCACCAATTACATAATACAAATACCTTGGAGCTTCCATTGATGGAGCTTGAAAATAAACTAATCTAAAGGGGATGGGGAGGAAACATTGTCCCAGGAGAGAAGAGGAAGAAGCCCGTCCTTTACATGGAAGCAATGCTTCCTATTTATAGAAAGGGGGTGGGGGTTTACTCTTATGGGCCAGCAGGCCGGTTGGGCCTTAATGGGCCCAATTCCTATCCTAGCGGGCCGATTATGCCGAAGACGGGCCTGGTAGGCCTAAATGGGCCTTGCTGACCGGGCTTCATACCGGGTGATGACTTGGGCCTCTGAACAGTAGTGGGCCGGGATAATATTCCCCAACAGGAGTATTAACTATAAATAGAGATGGGAGTAGCTAAATAAAGTAGGTTGTTATTGAGTTGGCTTTTGGCTTGGAGAGTGGGCTTCTCGAACAGTCCCAAGGTTTGTATACGCACTGTGATCGTTTCCCGTTCAATAAACATCGTTGATCATTTACAGTATAGTTCTTGATCATCAGTCTGTCTCACGGCAGCATGCTACTGTTGTTCCACACAAAAATGGAAGGTAAGGGATATCCGGATTTCTTCTTCTATTTGCTGCTCGTGATTGTGTGTAGTTCTTTTATGTTTGATGCTTCATGCCTAGAATAATCTTTAACAACACATAACATCATCGATTTGGTTCTTTTATGTGATATAGTTCTTGATCATCAGTCTGCCTCACGGCAGCATGCTGTTGTTCCACACAAAAATGGAAGGTAAGGGATATCATGATTTCTTCTATTTGCTGCTCGTAATTATGTGTAGTTCTTTTATGTTTGATGCTTAATGCCTAGAATAATATTTAACAAAACATAACATCATTGATTTGGTTCATTGTCATATTATTTCCTTCTAGACTCAAATTGCCTTTTACTTTTCCAATCAAGCCAGATTGTTAGCCCCCCTACATAAAAAAAACAAAAACAACAAATACGATTGAATGATGATAGATCGCTAACAATTTCACAGTATAAACGTAGCAGTGGATCAATGAAAAAATATACTGTAAATGATCAACGATGTTTATTGAACGGGAAACGATCACAGTACGTATACAAGCCTTGAGACTGTTCGAGAAGCCCACTCTCCAAACCAAAAGCCAACTGAATAACAACATACTTTATTTAGCTACTCACATCTCTATTTATAGTTAATACTCCTATATGGATATACTACTAATATAGTTCATAACCCTTTCCCTGCTATTAATATTACAGGCTCATTTATTATTATCTATAATAATATGTCCACTTATTATTTATTCCTATCAATACTCCCCTCCTAAACAATCACCTTGTCCTCAGAGTGGGTGATAAGGAATAGTCATGATCTTCAACTTCCACTTCATTCTTGCACATCTCCCCTTCCAGTACTTCGCTGATTTCTGGGCTTTTAGCTTATGTGCTTGGATCTTCATCATTGCTTCCTTCACCTTTGGCTTTTCACTCCATCCAAGTGATTCCCGAATCTTGTTATTGTCATTACTTTGGAGGATTATTCTATCATGGTGCTCTTCCGCACGAATTTCCTCTAATTCTTCTCCTTCTTTCATCTCAATTGCTCTTCCTTCATAAAACCCAAAATAACCATCACCTCCATCGGGCATTGATCCACCAACTCCTCCATCGGGCTACCGCAAAAAGCTTTGACGCACGATGTCTCTTGGAAATCTTTGAAGACCCAATCCCTTCTTGCTTGTATATTGCACTCTTCGTTGCGTTGATAATTGTCAAAACACAAGAAGAGAAAAAAACACCCACACTAGGGCGTCGCTCCTTCGCTTGTACTTTGTCGAGAAAAACTAACTCGCAAACAAGTGAGAAAAGTCTTTCGAGCTGAGAGCAAAACTTCTTCTCATGGCACTAGGTTTCTTCGCTAGGTTTCTAAGAACTCCGTAGTGATACTACCTAGTTTAAGATACAGAAAAAGTTAAAATTAGAACTTCCAATGACTTCAACAAAAATACCATGTAACACTTAAATTGATAAAATTTATTGAAATTGATGAAATTCCAAATGAAGTGACTGAATTGTGAAAAAAAATATTATTGAAAATATATTTTAATAAAAAAATTAAGAAAACATTATATTTGCATAGTTTTTTTGGATGTGCTCACACATCTATTATAGTATCCGCTCTTTTTATTAAATGCTAACATTCTTGAAATCGAGTGAATTTTGATACTGTGACCTTCTCCTTGGAGTGTCACAGTGATGTTATCGAACCACAATGTGCTTGACATTATTACGCAATTCAATGCGTAAGATCAAAAGTTATGTGTTTGATAAAATATGCATGGTTGATATGACTGATCTATTGAAAATAAAAATTACCATACGTGCTCTAAGTCAGAAGTCTATCAAGGATTTATTTCAAAGGATAAACTTCTAATATGCATTGTGTAATAATTAAAATAAGTAAGGTTAAAATTAATCTTTTGACTAAAACTGTTTGATATTACTACACACTATTTTAGCTATATTTTTATATATTGTTTTTCTTTGTTTTACTAATAAAATATATTTTAAATATATGAAAATAGATAAAATTGCCTTCTTCATTAGTTACCATTTATTATTCTACGTTGAATACTTATAATCTAATCAAATTATTTACGTGTCTATGAAACACAACGTTTTGTGAAGAAAGTAAGAGTACTATTAACCAACGTTTTGTAATCCATTAGATAATCCATTATTTTTACCACAATTTATGATTTAGTCCGTCGAGTTATATAATATTTAAAATAAATTGCTAGAGTGGCTGAAGTTGGAGTTTTTTATATGGAAATTACGGTAGAATACTATTTAAGCTATTTTTATATGATTTTTCTTTATTTAATTTATAAAATATTTTTCGAATATTTTTTCATGATTCACAGATTCAACTAGATTTTTATCAATATCGTAGATTCATCCAACACAATCAAATTACAGTATATTTTATCAAACGAGTTCATACTAAAATTTACCAAAAAACAAAGAATTATAAATGAAATAATTGCATATTGATAATTAAAATAAAAGTTGTTTATGAAAATGTGATCTTATAATGACTATAATAGGGATAGTAATTTATATTTAATTTTTACACTTAATGGTTATTAGTTATATTTGTGTAAATAAGTTATACTAGCATTTGATTAATATTTTTCAAAAACCTCAACATAGCTCCTTTAAATTTGAAATTAGATTTCTCTAGGTTGCATAGTAGGAAACATAAAGTCATAAACCACTACACTATAATCTTTATTTGTATTAAATAATAAAAGAAGTTGTAGGTGATTTTTTTATATTTCTAAATTTAGTCCAACATTGCTATGTAGTTTTCCAAAAAAATAAGAGGCCGTTTGGTAACACTGTTTTTCGGCTTATCAGCCAACTTTTTCACCAAACACGTAACTTTTGCTTTCGCGCGCTGAAGTGTGTAATAAGCGGAAAAGTAAGGTTGGAGTTACTTTTCTGGGTGTATTGGCTGAAGTTAGTGTAGATGATCGTTTTAGCTATTTTTACATATAACTTTTTCTTTATTTTATTAAAAAATTATATTTTAAAAGTATTTTTTTCTTAAATCAGCAGAATCAGCCAATGCAACCATTTCAGCCAGAACTTCATAAATTTCAGCAGAATCAGCCAAATCAGCCGATTTTCGTGCTACCAAACAGCTCTAAAAATCAAAAAGAGAAGAAGGATAGAATAAATTGTCAAGTTAAAAAAATATAGGGGTCAAATGGATATTCAGGCAATCTCATCGTTTTTGTACAAATGCCTCACATTTCTTCTCACTTCTCCAATCTCCTCCCTTTTACTCGGCCAGTAGCTCTCCTCACTGAAGCTCCCCTTCTTCTCTCCTCTGGTTATAAATTCTAGATTATTTCACGGCGGAAAGGTTTTATGTTTTGTTTTGATTTTTTGGCCTAAATTAAATCAACTACTGGTAGTTAGTTCTTCAGACCTTTCTAAATGTTCCATTTTTACGGTCTTTCAACTTTGCAAGCTTTAAATGTTATGGCTTTAATGTCTGCGCTTTGTGTGTATGCAGTTTGCGGGGAACGGCTATGTCTGAAAGGGGAGGGAAAGGGCCAGCGCATTCTAATGGAGGGAAATCTGCTCTTAAAACACGTAGTTCACCCTTTGTGTTTAGCATTTCCTGTTATTAGGTTTTTTCGTATTCTACTTATCTTTCCGTTTGTTCTAGTTTGATCATTTAACAAAAAAATGTATCATGTTGCATTTTTAGGTTTCCAAATAAAGAATAAAAAACTTCAGTATTTTTTTTATCTTCGAACTAGCAAATGCATATTGTTGCTTTAACGGGTTTAATTAATGAAGGATGCATTTTATATGCTAATTTTACATGTTCAAACAGCATATAAATGATTTTACTGGTTTTCCTGTCTGTAGCTTCTGCAAAAGGGAAGGATGACATTGCAGGAATGACAAAGAAAGGAAGGAAAGTTCAATTTGATTCTGAAGGTTTGGTCTTTTGTTAACCCGACATTTTCATCTTATGCTGCCTTTATTCTATTAATCTTAAAAATTTGTATTTCTCTAAATATGCTCACTATGGTAAAACGTTTTAAAAAAGTAGATTCACTTGATGGGAGTTTCACAAAATCTAATGGGAAAGCGGATGCACCAGCTGCCAAAGGTTAGGCTCCCATGAACATTACATTTATATTGTTGGATTTTTTTGGGTGCAAATATATTTTGTGATTGTGAAAAGGAAACAAGGGTGGGAAAAGTGGAAAAGGACAAACATCAAAAGCACCTCTTCCCCTGGAACTCAGAGTTGAGAAAGGTTTGTTTACCCATCTTAGCTCACAATGCATTTTTACTCTAATCTTTTGGCTGCCTTGAATGCTATACTCAATTGAATGTTTCTTAGCAGCTCATAGCCTCATACGCAAACCTTTACAGTTATCTTTTCTGTATTTTCTTGTTTTACATTTCCGCTTCTTTATCCAGCTCTACTTTTGCCTGAATTTCGACTAACTAGCCAATGTTAATCCGCAAATGTTCTTCACACCTGTTGATTAAAGAATTTCACCCTTGAAACCATATTAACTTTATCCACATTTGTTGATCTTGTTAATAGCATTTATATCTCTGTTCTTTTTTATGAAATAAAGCTCTTCATATGTAAATGTGCAGAAATTTCTGAGAATACTAAATGCCTGATGGACTGTGAAGCTGCTGAAATCTTGAAAGGAATCCAGGAGCAAATGGTTATACTATCTGAGGATCCAACCATAAAGCTTCCTATGTGGGTAGCAATGTTGATTCTTTTATAAAAAATTATTCATGAAAAAAGATGATTTTATGCTCTTTACATGCACTTTTGGTAAGAAAAACTTATTAAATCATATTTTTGAGATCATATACTCTGTATGTATGCATTGCACGATCATTTAAGCCAATAATCTATGTGCCTACTTGATTATTGTTTTTTCATAATCAAATTCCATGATTATAATCATTACCTTCACTAATAGGTTCTGAGTCTTTTTTTTGGTTCACTACTAGATCATTTGACAAGGGGCTCATGTATGCACAAAGACATGAAGTTTATGAGAAACCAGAAACTGTTAAACAAACACTCCAGTATCCTTTAATAAGTGTAATAAAAGCATTGGATGCCGTATGAGGCTATGAAACAGTTTTTTGTTTTTTTGCTATTCACTCTAAATTGGTTGTGCCTTTAACTCATATCAGACCCTTGAAGGAGCATGGTGTATGTGACAGCGAGGTATCTAGTTGAACTGGTTAACATTAGATACTCAGTTAGGCCCCATTTTGTAAACCGGTGTGGTGGTGTTTCAAGCTTTACAAGTTGTCCGGTACGGTGAGTCTACGCTGTAGTGCAAATTACAAATAAAGCTGTGGTGCAGTGAGAGTTTCAATATAAGAGATTGTGGCCCCACACTGCCACTGCCAAAACCCACTGGTTTACCAAATGGGGCCTTAGTGTTTAAATGCAATTTTAACTTACATGCGTAGGATTGCAGATATGCATGATTGCCAACTTTCACCTGGAATCTGTTGATGAAGTGTTTGCACTTGTTCCGTCTTTGAAGGTAAACCCTATATACTTTTTGTTTTATTTTAGAAATTTGAAGTGGTGGAGGAACTGTAGAAGATGGAAAATCGGTAGCCTTATTGAGTGTTTGAGGAGCATATGATAACATCATCATCATCATCACTCCAGTGCCGCAAAGACTCCCACCTTCGGTGGGGTAAGGGGGGTCGGATGTACACAATCTTACCCCTGTACTAAAGCACATAGAGTCTGTTTCCGGATGACCCATAGTGTAAACCGCGTTGAAAATTACATTGACTGACTGCTGCTTCATAACAAAGAAGCGCAAACAATTTAGTGAACCATTTTGGTTTATTCCATCATATTCTTAAGCCAAAAAATAGTAAGTCTTTGGCTCCATCGCAAATGATGGAAATATGAGCATATGTTAACATAATCTGAAAATGTGATATTTTTGGAAACAGGGTATTAGCTTTTTTGATTGATTGGTATATCCCTGATGAAAACAAGGATAAGGAGAAATATAGGGAAGAAAGTAAAAGAAAATGTGGATATTCGTGTATACTTAAGGTTAAGGTAGATGAAAGTTAAAATTGTATTATTCCAAATTCACTCATTTCCAACATTTCTCTCAACATTTGAAGAGTTGTTTTGGGGTGGTGTGTAGACTTTCTCTCTTTCCTTACTATTCTCTCCATCCAACCAACAGTTGCTATCTTTTTATTTCCTCCCCACTTTCTTTCCAACATGCTTCATAATAAAATCGTGCATTAACAAACATATGAACACGATACAAAAGCCTGGCACCGCCTGATTTGACTGTTAGAGACTGTTTGACGAGGGAAAAACTTTGCTAAAATTCTGAAGCGGCTGAGTTTGAAATTGTGATTGAAGTATCTAAAAAAAATTATTATTGAAAAGATACTCTGTAATATCTAAAAGTGAGGGTAGGAGTGTCATTTCTTTTCATTTACCCAAAGTGTAACTTCTGCACTCCTATTATCTTATTATCAGCCGATTTAGTCGATTTAGCCGATTTGGCAGAAACTCTAGTGGTTATAAGCATAAAAAGTTTATTCCAAACTGGAACTTATTGCACGTGTGTCTCTCGCTGTTAGTATTTTGAATTTGATGCATCTCTCTTTATATATTCTCTACTTATCCTTGAAATCGTGATTGAAATATCTAAAAATGTATTAAAAAGTACTCTTTAATATCTAAAAGTGAGGGTATAAGTGTCATTTTCTTTCATTTTACCCAAAGTGTAACTTCTTCACTACTAATTTCTTAATATCAGCCGGTTTAGGAGAACAACTTGGTGTTTTGCAGAAACTCTGTGGTTATAAGCATAAAAAGTTGATTCCAAACAGTAACTTACCGCGTGTGTCTCTCTCGCTGTTAGTATGTTAAATTTGATGCATCTTTGTCTCTTCAAATTGCTCTGTTCTCATGTGTTTCTCAGGGTAAGAAAAATAAGCTGCAAGGCCCCCTCAAAGCTGTGTTGGAGCAATTATCAAAGCTTAAGAATTCCTCAAGCAGTCAATAGCGCAGAGGTGAGATTGATCTTTACATGCCCGGATGGCCGGGTGCCCCTTCTGGTTTCATGCTCATTCTTGACTAATTAATGACTCAAAACTCAAAAGGCCAATAACGTTCTAGGTTATGAGTCATATTGTACCATATATATATATACTCTCTCCGATTCATAAACAAGTTCCTCATTTGACTTCACACATATTAAGAAAATAAATTTGACTTTACTGTGGAGTGCACTGTTTGTCACTGTTTGAATACTATTTGACACTGTTTGCACACTTTTTGGCACTGTTTGCACACTGTTTGGCACTGTTTGACACTGTTTTGATGTAGATAATTTGCCAAATAAGGAAATGTTTGAAAGTGGAACTTAATTTTGAATCTCCCCGAAAAGGAAAGGTGGAACTTCTTTTCGAATCAGAGGGAGTATTATCTATATCATCAACTTCTCCTTGAATGAACATAGATATGACATTTTGCTCTCTGATTATATATTTACAGGTAACGAGGATCACTATTTTGGGCAGCCATATTTCAATTTTTTGAAATCTAGAATTGGATTCATGTTTGATACTTTGATGGGTGCCACCTTGTAAGTACTAGGGCCTAACTAGTTAATTTTTGGATATTTGTAATCATTTGAAAGTGCGGATTTTGCTTTTTGCCCTTCGGAGTATTGCTTCTTATATAGGGGTGGACCTGTTCCGGTTCAGGCCCGGCCGGGCCTCAGTTCATGAAAGGGGAGGCCCGGAACCGGCCCGGGTAACCCCCGGGTCCGGTCCGGGCCGGGTAACCCCCGGGTCCGGTCCGGGCTGGGCCGGGCCTCGGTTCATGTATTTTTTTTTTGGCTTTTCCTAATTAACCCCCAACCCTCCCCCCTCACCCCCAAACCACCCCAAACCACCTCAAATGGCCCATCATATCCAGCCCAACCCAAAAACTTAAAAAAAAATCAAAAAAAAAAAGAAAGAAAAAAAAATTGGCCCGGACTGGGCTCGAACCGGCCGGGCCGGTTCACTATTTAGCAGGCCCGGGCCTGAACCGCCTACCTCACCGGGCCGGGTGGCCTGAACCGGCCACCAACCGGTTCACTGGGAACAAATTCAACACATACAAATGAAGATGCACACCATCTTCAACTATGAAGTAAATACACTTGTTGGTATAGTTTTTGAATGTTTTGTAAGTACACCAAGCTTATAAGTACTAAGTGGTGCACTGTTTTTGTATGTACTATCACATATATGAGAGTATAATATTTTGATGTACCTCCACTGCTAGTGTACACTTTTTTTGTCTAAACAGAAGCAATGGAAGCATAGGGCATATTTTGTTATACACTCGTTTACAAACACACCACAGAATCATCACAGATTCATCATAGGTGACTCAACATAGACAAACACATACAATCATGTTCACAATTGACTTAACATAGGCAACAAAGCACTTCAAAATCATCATAGAGTCATCAGAAGTAAATGAGCATAGGCAAACACACATAATCAAGCTCATAGTTGACTTAGGATAGACAAACCCACATAATCACGATCCTAGGCTAACACACCTCAAATTAATCACAAAGTCATCACAAGTAAATGAGCATAGGCAAACACACATAATCATGCTCACAATTGAGGGTATACTTAAGCAACCAACACTTCAGAATCATCATAGAGTCGTCACATGTAATTGAGCATATGCAAACACATATAATCATGCTCACAACTGACTTAGCATAGGCAAACCACACTTTAGAATCATCAGAGTCATCACAGGTGAATCAACATAGGAAAATGCACATAATCATGATCACAAGTTACATATCCTAGGCTAACACACCTCAGATCAATCACAACACCATCACATGTGACTCAACAATGGCAAACACTCATAATCATGATTACAGGTTACATATCCTAGGCTAACACACCTAAGATGGATCACAGAGTCATCACAAGTAAATGAGCACATGCAAACACACATAATCATGCTCACAGTTGACTTAGCACATGCAAATTAAACCACACTTCAGATTCATGAGTGTCATCACAGGTGAATCAGCATAGGCAAACACACATAATCACGATCACATGTTACATATCTTAGGCTAACACACCTCATATTAATCACAACTTCATCACAGGTGACTCAGCAAAGGCAAACACTCATAATCATGATTACAAGTTACATATCTAAGGCTAACACACCTCAGATTCATCACAACTTCATCACAGGTGACTCAGAAAAGGCAAACACTCATAATCATGATTACAAGTTACATATCTAAAGCTAACACACCTCAGATTAATCAGACTCATAAAAGGTAATTGCACATAGGCAAACACTCATAATCACGATCACATGTTACATATCATAGCCCAACACACCTCAAATTAATCACTTGTGACTCAACATAAGCAAACACACATAATCATGATCACGAGTTACATATTCTAGGCTAACATACATCAGATTTCTTAAGCAACCATGGATTACATCAATAAAGAAAAAAAGGATTGTGACATTGAAAGAGGTCAAATAACATTCCCAAATAGATATCAGAATCACTCAACCACACATCATAGGTGAATCAACATGCAAAACACACATGTGACCCACATATCAGAAATCACAACCCTAAAATCATTATTAGTCACAACAACAACCCAAACCGGCCTCTCACAAACATGCAAGGGTAAGACAACACCCCTTCAATCATCACATGTCCACATAACATTAAAGACAAAACGAGTAAGGATTGAGAAGGTTACTACCCTTAAGGAGCCCATTCATTGCAGCCGTCTTCTCCACCGCCACCGTCGCTCTCTTCTCTTTTTTTCAGTGCCGGTCTTGAGTTCACTTCTTCTCCATCTTCTGAATTCAGCCTGTTCAAACCATCGTAGGTATCTGACACGAGATTAGATCCGTATTTCTTACGCAAACGCCAGTTCGGATCAGTTTCAGATGAGGTTGAGTAACCAAAACGAACTATGTGAAAGTTCATTGTGGTTTCCAGTTGCATGTGAAGCTTCAGCTTCTGAGCCTCCAAGATCAATAGCTAGGCTCTGTCAATTTGGGAAGGTGGACCGACTTAGTGTTTTTAGGGGGTGATGGTTTCTAATCCATTTATAATGGAGGTCAATAGAAGGGACTGTGATAATGAAGGTGAGTAGAATGACGAGTGACAATGGAGGTGAGGAGAACGTCGGGTGACGATGGAGGTGAGTAGAAGGAGGTTACAGGCGGCGGGGGCAATGGAACACACACACACACACACACACACACACACACACACAAAGAGAGAGAGAGAGAGAGAGAGAGAGAGAGGAGTTGGTTGGGGTAAGGGTGGGTATAGAAGAGGTAAATGGGATAGGGTTAAAGTTGACATTTCATATTAAAAAGATGCATAAAATGGAAGTGTGAAGCTTAATTTGGACCTGCTCAAAATGGGAAGTGTGAAGTTCTTTTGGGACCGGAGGGGGTATAATTTCTAAGTACTATTGGGAGCAGTATCACTCTTAAAATCTATAAAAAGGGGAAAACGGAAATTAATAATCCTACCTATTACTTTTTTTAGAATAATTTCATTTAATCGCAATCTAGGAATAATCTTACCTTAACACGCATTTTCTTTCACTAGTCCCTGACCGGTTGATGACTTGTTATTCCAAGTGATTTTCTTTTTTTTTTTTTGCAAAACACTAAACCATAAATCCCACTTTTTACAAATCATCTTAAAACGGTCTCACATATTATTATTTTCCCCTTTCTCCTTAAAAGTTTTCTCTCTTTAATTTATTTTCTTGGCTCTTTTATTCCCTTTTTTCATCTTCTTCTTATTTTTATTTCCTTTTCATGTTTATGTATTCCTTTTTTCCTTCTTTTTCTTCTCCTCGTTTATTATTTCATTTCCATTTTTAAGATCTTTTTCTCACTCTACTAATTTTTTACTTTATTTTCATTTTACTTTCACTTATTTTTTTCCTTTTTATTTTCTTACCATAATTCCACCACCAATATATTTTTCTCTTTTTCTCAGGCTCCATATTTTTCTAAGCGAGTCCATCATTAATTCCATCTTGTGCGATGAAAAACCTTCAGATAAAAAAACAAGTAGAGAACGAAATGAAGGAAAACCAAGAAACAAAAAACCTCAGTCGGGGAGGCTTATTATGATGAAACACGTCTTGAATACTATTCCCTTACACCATTTCGGTGTATATATTCTTCCTAAAACTGTTCATAATATCCTTGAGAAGAAGATAACCCATTTTTTGGGGGGTTCTACAAATGATAACCACAAATATCATTGGCTGAACTGAAAAGATAATTGTCTACCTAATGATGAATGAGGTTTGGGCATCAGATTGCTTTCAAATATTGAAAAAGTTTTCTATCCTAAACTTTGGTGGAAATGGAAAGAAAACAATTTTTTGGGCTAACTTTTGTAATGTGAGGTCTCCTATAAATGGTATCATGATTCCTAAAGCTACTGACTCTACTATTTGGAGAAGAATTTTCCATATCAATAATAGAGGACAAAGCTTATCTGATCTTGATTCTGAGGATAATCTGATCTGATACAGATGGTCATTTTACCATTTCTTTTGCCTATCATGAAATTAGAATGAAGAAATAATCCGCCACCCTTTCTTCTAGATGCATTTGGAACAAAAACCAAACCATGCTGATTCAATTAAACTGTTTCAATGGAAACTTTCATTAAATTGCTTCCAATTTCTCAAAATTTATGCAGATTTAAAGTTGCGACCTTTCCTTCTATTTGCCCCTTATGTAAGAATCACTATGATCCTACCAATCACGTGTTCTTATTTTGACCTAAGATCACATTATCAATATTGCGTATTTAGACTTAATTTAAGTTTTAAATGACAAACATGTATAAAAAGATCAATTTTGCTAAGATTCAATTGTAGATAAATTTTGAGAAAATTCTTACAAAGGAGTTAAACATAACAAATTTTCTCAAGTAGGAGTATCATTATTTTCTTTCCAGAACATAACTCGTGCACTCTTTTTTAGAGAACTTTTTATCTATTTTAATAGGATTGCATAAATCGGGGAAGAAAACACATTTAGTGGTATTTTTGATTCCCCCCCCCCCCCTATATTTTACTTCTATTTTGAACAGGTTCTTATAAAATTTTAGATGACATATAAATATATATAGGGGTTCAATTGGGGTTGAAGGGGGCATTTACTCCACTGCGCCCACCCTAGATACGCCCCTGTCTGTAGTCATTTTCAATAGGGTTGTAAACGAATCGAATAATTTTGATCCGATTCGCGATTCGAATTCGAAATTGATGATTCGAATTCGAAATATTCGAATACGAATTCGAATACGAATCAATTTTATTATTCGAATAAAATTCGAATACGAATACGAATATACATATATTCGATTCGTAAGTTATTCGAATATATTCGATTTGTATACTTACGAATTATAAATATATATTCTATTATATTTATAATTTTGAAATAATTCATATAATAGACATTTGTGAAAATCGAAAAATGCCTAAAATGAGTCATAATTTGAATAGGTGATTTTTTTTTGAAACTTCAAATATTTGAATTGGAATTCGAATATTCGAATTCGAATTCGAATATTCGAATACGAATATACTCAAATACAATAAACGAATCGAATACGAATCGATTGTAAGATTCGAATAATATTCGAATACGAATACGAATATTCGTCAATTTATACGAATACGAATAATATTACTCACTATTCGATTTGATTCGATTCGTTTACAACCCTAATTGTCAAGCAACCATTGATAATGAAAAAGTGCACCAGGCGTAGTTATTTAAATACGGTACGAGAATTAAACGAGATTTAATACATACATGTTTTATTCAGTAACATGAATGAAATGGTCAAATATTCATTGAAAAGAACGTTGACTTTTAAAAAAACGTGTAAATACATATATATGTATAATACGATCTGTTACAAAATATGGACAAAAAATACAAGGTATTATTTTGAACATTTAAATTATATACTTCACAAAATAACATATATAGTAAAAGGAAATAAAAGTATACACATATTCAAGTAGCAAATCCTATTACTAGATAAAAGAATAAATCATAATTGCATAAGTCAATGACAAAAATAAAAATATTAATTAAATCCAAGACATAATTTTGCAAAATAATGTCAAAAAATAATGCATAATAACAATAGAATGAGACTAAGCTAAAACCATTATCTTTATATGATCATGAAATAACACTCAAGTTAAACTCATCATTTATCATCAAGATGTCAAATGACATATGAGAAGAATTGTGCGACTATTGCACTTATTATTATTTTATTATCTATGCTAAAAATGTCATGTTTAGAAAAAACTTAATTTTGATATGTTTTTTTGGAAATAAACATTAGAAATCTACTACTCCATCCGTCCCTTAAAACTTTGTCATATTTCCTTTTTGGATGTCCCACAGAATTTTGTCACTTTCCCTTTTAATCAATTTTTTGTGGTTTCTGTTATTTCTCTCTCCTCTGCACAAACCTCAACCACACAGTTTTTACTTTATTATTCTCCGTGCCGGTCAACTTTGACAAAATTTTAAGGGACGGAGGTAGTAGTATTTTAAATTTAGTCTTTTAAGATGTTAGCTTTAGCCACCATGCAATTAATTTTAGTATTTAAAATTGTATTGTAACAATACAAAAACACGGGGATGGAGTTTTCTTTTTTGCATTTAAACTATTGTTGATCTCCTATGAATTTAATGCATTGATTCAATTGATCAATTCATATTTCTATATTTTGTAAAATACGGGGGAAACGCTTTATACGGGAAGTGGAAAGTAGGAGTATTTTTACTTTTTAAATGGACCGACATCAGTCATCATTGGCATTCGATGAAAATGAATGGCCATCATTGGCTGACTACCCTCGTCTATGGTTACCCACCGTCAACAACAGGAGAGAGTCTGAGAGAGATGTGGGTTTCAGTAGAGACTATTGGTTTAGCCAAGGAGAAATGCGGAATGAACCATTGTACATTGCAATGATACTAGCCATGCATGGGTCTGACCGAGGAGAAGGAAAGACAGAGACGGTTTGGGAATTATAGAATGAACGGGGGATGCAACTAGAAAATTTCAGTGTGAGGGCTCAATCGACGTGTTTGAAAAGGAATCTTCTAAACTCAAGAACTTATGGTTACATGTTCCATCCGCTGGGTAACCCATTTTGGGGCCTATTTTAATGTTTTCACCATAAACCTAAGGAATTCCCTTCTTAGCCCTAGGGACTTGGTAAAGAAAGTAAAAAGGAAAAAGAAAAAAATCGTTGGGACCGACCTTGTAGTCTTGGTACGAACGGGACCATCATACGGCTTATGGTCAGAGCCTCAAAGGGATATACTTGCCAGGCCTGTTTCAGTTCTGGTCGAGAACCAGGTCAGGCCTAGCTACCTGGGTCTTCCGTGTATAATTCTTCAGAATGAAAGACAAATATGCATGCATATCGAGTAATGTGCATGCGCATTGAGCTTGGATTACACAATTCTACATCAATTTACTTGCATGCTATAATCCAGCTTGTGTACATCACCAGACCATAAATATCAACTAATCTAGTCCATTTGATACATGAACATTAAATATAAGCTTGTACAAACTAACCTGGACCTCACTTCTAACTTTATAGTTTATAGTATCAACTGTGCAGTATCTTTCCTGTTTCAGGATCCGGGAAAGATGGACCCCCCAATCATATGGTAGTAACACAAAACAAGATACACCCAAAAGTCATCAATGCAGTTATAACCCAACTTCTATGCAAGTTCAAACCTGAAGATTTTCCATCTGTGACTCCAACAAGAAACCGGCACTCACCGATAGAAGGATCCAAGAAAGTGACCATCCCAAGCCCATCAAAATCACAACTCCCCGGATTCTGTTTTTGCAACTGATAGTAACTGTTAAATGCATAAGACACATTTCCCTTTGGCCCAATGCCATTGCAGGACCCGCCGTAGTCCAGGGTCGTGCAATCCGCAAAGCTACACGCGGTCCTAAAGTGGTTATCCACCATTGAAAGGTCTCTATCCGGTTTCGCCACACACCACCTGGATGGAAGGTAACTTACTTCTTTGGCGTTCCTCAGCAAACCATTTCCGAGGTTCAGTTTATACTTTGCCTGCCCGTCAAAAGAGAACATTCCCCAGTGTCTCTCGAAGTTTCCTGGAAGAATGCTTTTCCCATCCTCATCGAGGAGGCTAAAAAGGTAAACATCCATTGGAGGGGCCCCGGGCCTAAGAGGGGTTCCTTGGTTTCTAAGTACATGGTTCACTAGCCCTTGGTTGAAAGCTCTTGCAGCAGTTATGTTGGCACTGACGGCTCCATCCGTGGGCCAACCCACCTCTCCTATGACTATAGGCATCTGACTGTACCCGATTTTGGAGAGGGCTGATACTAAAGTATCAAAGTTTCCATCAAATGCGTTAAAGTATACGTTCGGACCATCCACCACTTGATGGGTCGTTCCTTCAAAAAAGGCATAGTCTTGTGGGAAGTCTGAGTTTCCATAGAGGCTGAGGAATGGGTATATGTTGACAATGAATGGCGAACCGATTGAGTTTAGGAAAGAAACAAGTTGGGTCATTATTTGGGTCAGTTCAGGTCGGAACGTACCTTGTGATGGTAGAGAAGGAGACTCATAGGCATCAGCGTTGCATGGTACAACCAGCTTTATGGACCCTGCAAGATTTGTTTTGACTAGAGATTGTTGTATGTTTGATAGAGCAGGAAGGACGTCAGATTGGTATTGACCAGAGTAACTTGTGAGGAAAGGTTCGTTCCCAACTGCAACATACCTGTTATCACAAGTTGGTAGTCAGAGCCAAAAAATCAAATAAGAGCAATATGAGATTGGGAAAGGAAGGACTAAAGAGATGGAAACCAATAACAATTAATGAATCACTGGAGATAAGCAGTTGCATTAGAAGTAAACTGTAAACGGCTTGTGATGTCAAAGCCATACATGTAAACTGTAAACTGTAAACTGTGGTTGGACTATATTTTATCTCTATCTGAAGAAATGCTTTATAAATATATTATCACATAAATGGTAGAAAATAACATCTAAAAAAGCAAGCACGTTTTTCTTCAACTTCAGTCATTTCATAAAAATAAGTAAAACTCTTGCCAATTATCAGTGGACTTAGCCAGCACAATCAAATAAGTTAGATTTTGGTAGAAAATCTTGTTGATATTGGATAAATAGATACACTGTTCTAATTATGGGCACTGAAAGTGCTGGTAATAATTTAGATGGTATAGACCAGTAGCCTGGCATTATAGTATTGTGAAGCTATAATAACAAGTGATTGAAATATGCAGTACAAATCTATACAATATATTAATGGCACTCCGTAACTTGAGAAGCGGAACTTCAAATAGATTCTACACCTGGGTACTGAAATGTAAAAATTCCTTGAATTTTCTTCCTATTTACTGAGAAGATAACTTTCATATTTTATAAAGATTAATTGAACTTGTGTCTCCAATTCCCAATGCCTACTCTTCCAGATGGAACTCACTGACTCACACTCCAGAACTAGTTCTATCATGTATTTCATTTTAGATATTTTATAATCTTCATGTTTGTCACAAGCATGTAAACCATACGAAGCAAATTAATTCTCCTAAGCCACAGCTGCAGGAAGATCTTCATTTAGCTTGATATATCACCAGAACGTGCATCTATTTTTTCCAAGTTATCTAGGTAGGAATTGGAAGTTCATCAATTACATTTAGAATCTTTAAGCCTATTCATTAAAAATAGGGATTACATTAATACAAACAGAAAATTAAAGTTTTGCATACGAGCTGTGGCAGTTGGGTTTGTGAAATTCAATATTGATATTCCTAATTTGAAAGCTCAAACTTCAACTAAGTAGTGATCCTGAGCTAGAGGGTTTGGGGGAAATGGACTTCAGCATGCTTTGTACATATAACTAGAACTTTCCTCACAGAACCTAGATGAAATGAAACAGGTGACAGGCAAGGGACGGAGAAAGTCATACTTGATATTAACACCACCTCTAACCATGTATCTGGTCACATTCTGGGAAACCCACAAATCAGCTGCGGATGAAGAAGATGCAATGAGGGAAAGGAGCTCGTTGGGGATTCCAACCATGACCTCAATCCCACTGCCCATTAACGCCCTGAGCACATCCGGATCCGCTTCGAACAATTTCACCTTCCAAATACCGTTGTACTTGAGGAGATCCACAACTTTCGGCGGCGATAGCTTGTGCAGGGAAAGGGTACCCCAGTTCACTCCTATCGCCGACTCAGAAGGAGCGGCGAAAAGTAGCGCCGCTGCCGCCGCGCACAGGAAACAGATAATGCTCCTGTTTTTATTAGCCATTTTTTCACTGTCTCGGAAACAGAGAGCCTTGAAACCTCGGGATGAATTGTGCGATTGCTCATCCAAATAGAAACGTCTCTTTATTGCTTGGGCAAGAAAGCCACAGATAGAGGGAAGCTGAGATGTTGTTGCTTGTTAGCAAGCAGTAGTAGACTTGATGAAGAGTAGATATGGCGAGGCTTTTAATTCTGATTAAATATTGATATAACAACTTATAAAAATTTAAGAAATAATTACATAAATATGACCAAAATAAAGATGATTTACAAAAATATGACTAATGACTAGAGTAGTAATGAAATCATAGTAATTCATGTTCAAGTTTTGAGCTTAAGTTACCACAACACCACATTGTAGTAATGAATAGTCATACTTATGTAAATATGTTTTATTTTAGTAATATTCTTGTAAAAAACCCAAAATTTAACTTTTAAAATGATCTGACTAATAAAAATTGAGGAAAGGCGAGACCTAGGTTGGCCCTTGTGCAAAGAGTTTAGTTCTTACCTAATTCAAATCTTAAAAGGTCATAAGTTAAGTGTTTAGCTTCCGATACATAAAATAAACAGATTTTGAAATCAATAATATTAAATGATTTGCTTGTACAAAACTAGGATTATTCAAAAAATCAAATAAGAGATTAACTTTTATACCCTTTAAATTAATGTGTCTCATAATGATCAACTTTAAGCGATTCGATTGTATTGATTTTTGAGTGTTTATATTTTTACTTTTAATTAGCTTTTACGGTGTGTTGTTGTGGTAATTGCACATTTACGGTGCAATCATTTTATTTTTCTAGTTTGTTGTAATTTAGTAAATTTAGAATCATCGTGAGCAAGAATCAACCGAGGATCAACAAAGGATCATGAAAGTAATCTTACAAAATCAAAGGAAGGTGCAAGGGAGCAAGAAATCATGCAAAAAATATGATTTGGTGTCATACTCGGTCGGGTATTTTTGATACCCGGTCGGATATGACTTGACCCGGAGATTTACAAGATCAAATAAAGCAAGAGAACGTAGGAAGATCAGATTTGGTCATATACCCGGTCGGGTATCACACCCAACCTCACAAAAATACCTATAAATACACATCTTTTCCTTCCCATTTTAATATTCCTTCTCCCGTAGACTTAAGCTCAGTTTAGAATAACATTTCTTTATATTTTTCTAGCATGTTTAGTCTCCAAATGAGGAGCTAAACTTCCATTTCTGGGTTTTGCTCTTGAAGCTTGTTGATTATTAAAGTTGTGAGTTATTTTCTTAACTTCTCTCCTTAAATATTAATTCTTCCCTTAATCTATTTCTATATTAATGTTGGGGAGTGTTGCTAAGATGACAATTAGTCAACATCTCAATATTAATTATTACTAGAAACGATCAACGAACCGATGATTATCGTTGATGGTTTCACAAGTAAGTAATTAACTTCGGTTTATTAATGCACGGCCGTGGTTAATAAACTTAAGAGGGATTAATTTTGTTGGTTAAACCGAAACCGTTGTGTTGAGGTTATCAATCTAAATTGATTTCATCAAGGAGTTAGAAAGATTAAATGCTACTATTAAATCGGTATAAGGCATTGTTCTATATTTGATTAATAGTAAGGGTTATTAATGAATGATCATTGTTAGTAACTACAATCGATAAATTGGATATACTCCTCGATTGAGTATTCGAAAGGGGATAAGTTATAGATATAACAAGGATCGACTAAATATATCAACAAGTGGAAAGTAGCAAAGCCAAGTTCTTTTTATCATTGAATTAGATCACATATAAGTTGTTCATCTTAGTGTTCAATTAAATTAAATCATTCAAACCCAAAACCCCCTGTTAGGATATTGACCCGGAGGCCCAATACCCGGATTAAAAAGGCCCAGAATACCCGGCCCAAACAATGAGTCCATTACCCTATGATGAGTAGATCCAGTGAAGAATCCATACCGAACGGGGTTCGGTCCGAGTACAGGCCGGCCCAGAAAGAAGATATACCGAACGGAGTTCGGACCATATATCATACTTGGGCCAAATTGACAGCGTCATCCGCAAGGTCCAGCATCCCGTTCGAGCAACGGGCAACCAGCAAGTGGCCAGGTGCAATTAATGTCAGATTATGACATCAGCAAGTGGAAGCATGGGTGATCAAGTCGGTGGAGCAACGGCCAATCAGCATAGAGCAGCCCATGCTCCCCATTAGTATAAATAGAAGGTTTAAAATCATTGAAAGGGTTAGCATTTCAATACTCAAGCTCTAGAATAGCATTATTACTCTTTTTTCCTGTATTAAAAGCACTGTTCCGACCTACCGATCGGGAAGTTTCCTTGTAATCAGAAAGGTTAATTAATACAAGTGGGCTTTTGGGTATTAGTGGATTCATCTTTTATATTTTGTTATACACTTTGATTCTGATCCTTTCCTAATATATCCAAAGTTCGTGTTGGGCTTTCGGATCTACGGGACTTACCTTCAACATTGGCGCCGTCTGTGGGAAACTGTTCAAAAGTTTCACATTCAATTATTCCAAAACAACTATTTTTGAAAATGGTCAGAATCAGTTCTTATCATACAAATGATGGTTCGCGCCGTCACGGAAGGAGTCACACCCCGAGAAATCAAACCCCTCAGGGACAATCCAGTCGAGGATCATATCCTCATTTTGATGGGGACTTTGTAATTCTTGAAGCCCTAAGGAGGAATCCTCAGGCCATGCGAGATATGGCCCAGGTCATGCAACACATGGCAAACGAGGAAGAAGGAGGATCCAATTTTTCAGGGGAAACTCCACACACAGAAACGACCACGGCGTCATCCCGCTCACGGGCCCATCGGGATAATCGGCGTGGTGCTCCACCAACAGCGCATCATAGTCCCAGTGACCGGACCCCGATCAGGTCACAAGCCAGGGGACCTACTCCTATTGGTCGTCATTTCCAGCATGACGAACGGAATAATACTAGGGCCACTCAAAGGCATTGGGATCGGGAGTATACAGATTTGAGAACTCCACCACCGCCCCCTTTGACGGCCCAGGAGGAAGAAATGGCTGAAATGAGGAGGTAGATGAACGAGATGAGAGATCAGATGAATAGGGCGTCCGTACAGCCTGCTCCGATTCAGCTCGGGATTACTTCCCCTTTCACCAGGGAAATTATGTATGCGGATATCCAGGGAGGTGCCAAACCACCGGCCGGCCAAATTTATGATGGGGTGGGAGATCCCCATGTGCATTTAAGGAGTTATCAAGGAGGACTCATGTTACTAGAAGCACCTGAAGCTGCTATATGCCGGTTGTTTTTCAGTACGCTCAGAGAACCCGCCCAAGAGTGGTTCGGGACCCTGCAACCTGGGTCGATCAACAGTTTCACCGAATTATCGACGTTGTTCTTGGCCCAATTTGCTTCCAGTGCCAACCCAAAACGGCACTTCAGCTACCTGACCAGCGTGAAGCAGAACTCCAAGGAAACCTTCAATCAATTCTTAAAAAGATGGAGGGACGAAACTCTGATAGTTGGAAATATGACGGATGATACCGCCATCACCCTATTCACAAACGCTCTCCGAACGGGAGAACTATACAAGGATTTGAAGAAGAATCCAGGTACGGCGTATGCCGAGGTGTTAGACAGAGCTCGCAAGCATGCTGCCCTGGAAGAAGAGATTATGATCAGGGACAAGGTCGCTGCGCCTACTGCCCCAATCAAGATGGCCGATCGGCTGGGTCCTACCCCAGTGACCGCTCTCCCTCCTAAGCAAGGGCGATTTACTCCCCTGGTCCTGTCCGTGGCAACCATTTATCAGAACGAGAAGGACAACATTCCCCTTTCGACTGATTCTTCACAGTATATGGGAGCAGACGAGTCTGCTTTTTGTAAATATCATAACAGGAAAGGTCACACCACCAACGCTTGTAGGGCACTACAAACGGCTATTGAGGACTTGATCCGGTGGGGTCATCTGGACAAGTATGTAAGTAAGGACCCAAGTGTGGTAGGCACTTTAAAACCGATCAGGAAACCCAACAGCTGGCGACGTGATGCCCAACGTGATGCCCAGCCCCAGAATGACGTATATATTCCTCCCAGGGATGAACCAGAGGGTTCGGGAGGTCCCGGAAAGAAACCTCGAATGGAGGTCAAAGTTATATTTGGGGGCGGGCAAACAGGGGATTCGAACGCTGAACGGAAAAGGTTCGAGCGAAGTCTTTATGTAGGATCCATCTCCACTCCCCCCAGAAGAAAGGAAGGACGGACCCAATCACGTTCGGGTCGGCTGATTTACCCAACTCGCCGAGCCCGCACAGAGATGAATTGGTGGTGAGCATGTGCATTGACAATGCTTTGATTCGCCGGGTACTGATCGATACGAGGAGCAGTGTGAATGTATTGTATTTACAATCATTCGAGAAAATGGGCCTACAGAGAAGTCAATTGACCCACCTAAGAACCCCACTGGCGAGCTTCACCGGTAACTGTATTGAGGCTGAGGGGACCATCCAATTGTTAGTTGAAATTGGGGACGAAACGCACAAGGCATCACTCCGAATGACGTTCGTGGTAGTGGACATAAAATGTGCCCATAATGCCATCTTGGGCCGACCAGGATTGGAAGATCTAGAGGCAATAGCCTCTGTCCGCCACTCGTGCATCAAATTCCCCACGGACACCGGGGTTGGGGTGGCCAGAACTGATCCGGTGACAGCCCAAACGTGCTACCGAGAGGCCCTGAAGCAGATGAACACCTGTGGAATGCGGGTTAACAGAATTGAGGTGGAGACCCACCGAACGGAGTTCGAGGCACATCCAGAACCTGCCACTCCCCTCGAGCAAATTGACCTGGATTTCCTCTGAACCGGAAGGTTGCTATCGGGGTGGATCTGGAGGCTGACATTCGGGATGGCGTGATTGCTGTCCTAAAAAAGTTTCAGGTTTTAATCGCCCGAGGGCCGGAAGATATGCCAGGTATTGACCCAGACATAATCTGTCACAAGCTTGCCGTTCGGACTGATGCAAAACCGGTCCAGCAAAAGAAACGATATCAAGCAACCGAACGACGGGATTTCACAAAGCATGAAGTGGCCACCTTGCTGAGAATAAAACACATCCGTCCAGTAATCCACGTCGAATGGCTATCC